GGTAGCAGCCTCTTGTAATCCCCTGCACAATAGTACAGAGAATTAGAACGGTAGGGGCAATGGAACCAATCAGTTTTGCAGACAATGAACATGCAGATAGGAAAACAGAGAGAGAGAGAGTGATTACTCATTTGTTTGTGGCTGCTCCTTTACTGTCCAATCACAGACTAGGGGGAAAAGGCCAGAAGAGAAGAAGGGAACCAGACTGTATAGCTTAAATAAATAGAGAAAAAAGTCAGGTCACCATTGCTGCCTGGAAGTTTTGTGTATATCTCAGGACAGGGAGGACAGAAATATAACATATTTGGCAGGTGAAATAGCTTTCAGATATATTCAGAGCATAAATTGTTCCTGCTAGGTGTGATTTCTCAAGGAATGGTGCTGGCCACCAATCCCAGTGCCAACCAAGCCAATCCATTACATAGCCTTCTTCCAATGCACCACCCTCTTCTTCTTCCCCCAAAACCAAATTTAGTCAATAAATATATAAATATTTAAATAACTACATTATTAATAAATAAAATAGATAAAGCTTAAAAAAATTATGGTGTGACCTTATATTACTAAGGTCTCAACACACTAATCCCCTTTGATCACGGTAGGAATAAAACCCAATGCTAGCAGTAGAAATGGTCCTCTTTACTCAATCACTTTTGCTTGCACCCTCCTCTGTAGCTACCTTTGATGATAAACACTTGCGCTGCCAAATCAGTGTTCAGGACTCATATTGTAAGTAGAGACAAAAAGCAGAAGACTCCATAGTGTACTCCGTATTAAAAGTGATTCAACTTTAATAAAAATTTACTCACAAACATATGAAAAAAAGCACATCCATAAATGGTTATGAGCTCAAATCTGAAGACATGCTAATCCATTCTGCGACTCTCTCCATCCATCAGTATACAGCCAGTCTCCTCCCTACATACTTTTTGGAAAAAACATGTGCCTTCATCAGGGGTAAGGAGATGAGTGCTGATATTAATGCAATTGGCTCTCCCACCTCCTTACCCCTGATGAAGGTAACATAATGTACGTAGGGAGGAGCCTGGGTGTATAATTTGACTGACATTTCTTTAAAAATGTTTTTGGGGTGCTGCTGATGTTGTATACAAAGAGATTTAGAAAAAGAAAGTTGAGTTATAAAGTAAAGCATGCACTGACCAACATACGGCGTCACTGTTGGGAGTCCCAGATATGATCCTTAGTGACCTTGT